AAAAAACTGAGTTGATAGCTAAAACATTTGATGAACAAAATTTTTAAGAAATTCTTACCAGGATTTATGTGCTATAGAATCTCATTTACCATGTGAAAAATGGATATATCAAGAACGTCAAGCAATAAATAAAAAGATGGCACAACTTATACCAATATCTAATATAGATATAATCACTAAAAGTCAAATTGACGAAGATGAAGAAGCAGATATAGATGATGAATCTATAGTACAAGAAGTAGTTAGCGCAATTGGTAAAGGTGGCTATAGGTGTATTAAAGATATTCTACAATATTTAATTCCAAATCTTATTCAAAAAGGAATTTTAAAACCACAGCAACCAATTGTTAATCTTCGAATATCAGGAGATGGACGAAATATTGGAAGACGAGTAAAACACATAATAATAACAATGGCTATTCTAGATAACAAAGATACATTACAACAACCTAATTATCATTATACTATTATACTTTACCCTGGCTCTGAAGACTATGAGACATTAATGAATATAACAGCTCCACTTCGTAATGATTTAATCAGTTTAGAAGACCAAGGATTAATAGTTAACAATATTAAATGGAGCTTTCAATTTTATTTTTCAACTGACTGGAAATTCTTAGCAATTTGTTTAGGTTTTAATAGTGCAAATAGTAAAAACTTTTGTCCATGGTGTACAATTAATAAATCACAACAAGGAAATTTATCAAATGAATGGAAAATCTATAAAAAAATAGATAAATTAGTTGAACATCCTAATTACTACAAAGGATATTCAAAAATACCACTTTTTAATATGATACCTCTTCATTGCTGGATTCCTGATGAACTACATATCATGCTTAGAATTACTGATCAATTATAGAGTCTTGTAATAGCTGAATTAATTGAATATAATTTATTTAATGATATTGCACAAAAAATTATTATAGAAGAAATGAGTAGAATTAATATTAGTTTTCAGTTCTGGCAAAATCAAGAATCTAAAGATTGGAATTATACTTCATTAATAGGAGATGATAAGCTTAAAGTGTTGCAATTCTTTGATTTATCAACAATTCTCTCAAAAAATCATGCTAATATTATAAGAGAATTATGAAACAAATTTTATGAACTTTATAGAATGATAAAGAATCCTAAAACAAAAAGCGAAGACTTTAAGCATTATGCAAAAAAGTGGCTTGCCTTATTTTTATTACCATTTGAAGGAATTCCAAATACTCAAGAATTTAAAAAAGGTTTATATCGACCTGATAATATGTCACCATATATTCATGTACTGATTTATCATATTTCTGAATTTATAGCAATTCATCGAGAATGGGGGTTAGCAGCATTTTCATGTAGTAGGGTTGAAAAAAAAAACCATCGGCAAATAACATATTTTTTTCATAAAATGATGCATGGTAATAATGCAATTATAGAAATTTTACAACATGAAAATAGAATGCTTTATTATAATAATACTTTAATAGATAATCAACGACTACAAAATATTCATATAAATACATAGAAGCAATTAATTTATTGTTTTATATTTAAAGTAATTAAATAATTTGCTGCATGTAATTAAATAATTTGCTGTACATAATTTATTTAAATTATAGCTTGGCTAATATAAAAATGAAAATAAATATGACCTGCATGAGTAATATTGCCATTTATATCAGTAGTTTTTTGTTTTTTCTATTCTACTACTAATTGACCCCATTTACATTTTGGTCTATAAAACTTCTTATTATAAGTTGATTGCTGTGCAATAGCTTGTATAATAGGATTTTCTTCAATAATATCTTTATCATCACAAAGCACAATATAAGTACATTGTCGTTGCTCATAAAATTTAATTCCCTAATCTTGTGTATCTAAAATACTTGCTAATAATTGATTAGATGAACTTACACAAAATATACATTTATATTTGCTTTTTGATGCAGAATAATAATGTATATAATTTTTAAATATTGCGTAAAATAAACTTTCTGTAGCAGGAACTGATACTGTTTGTTTTCCTAATTGTTTAGATCCTTTTGTTATTGTTTGTAAATATAGTGAACTAAAATACTTTTGAATTGTTGTATAGTGTTCTTAGGCAAAGTATCAAGATCTGAACGTGAAGCATTGTATTTTGTAACAATGTCAAAATATTTTTTTAGTCCTCTATTTGTTTTATATAAATTTCCACATACATTACATTCAAACTTCAAAATGATAGCTATTGAAGTTACTAAAAGTAAAAGAATATCTTAATATTATTGTTAATAGTATATACCATAAGCAGATTTACAATAATATTTACCATTACAGAAGGAGATAGGTTTTAAGGTGAGAAAATGAGTTTGACGTGATAACTATATTAGTTTTATTCAATTTGGGGTTTATTTTAGTATATGCGTCATGTGGTTGACACGTAATCATTATTAATAATCATGATAATTCAATAGTAATTCAGGGTTTTTAATTTAGGCCCAATTCCAAAAAAGCACAGTGATGAAAAGAATACATTCGAATATTTATATATTTTAATAATTTTTGCATTCTCTGCGTAAAAGCATCCGCATTTGTTTTCTGCAACGGCAGGAATCTGTTAGTGTATTGTTTAACCAAATTTAATAAGTTAATTATCACAATTTTTTTACAAAAACAAAAAACATAATTTACCTTTCTAGGTTTTTCATGACTGCTAGTGCTCCTACGGACCCAGACTGGACCAGACTTTGGGTAAGTTTGGGTTCGGGTTTGAATTTCTAACCGGACTCAAACTTTTAGATTCAAACTTTTAGCCAAGTTTGAGTTTGGTACGAAGTTTGTGAATTAGTTTGATTCCAAAATATATATATATATTTTTTGATGCTGAACAAGTTTCTTAGTGTAAGAAGTTAGAATTGATTAGTAAAATTTAGAGAATGATAACAATTTGTAGAATTTCATTAATAAATTATCAAAAATATCAAATTATATGTAATTTTACTAACTGGAACTAACTTCTTTCATTAAATAAACTTGTTCAATATCAAAAAATACATTGCATTGGCATATTTTATTTTGTATTTTATAAAATCTGAAAAAAGATGCCTAGCTGAAAAATTTCAAAAATTTTACTATAACCAAATTAATAAAGCTTTTAATTTGCATAACAAATTAATAACATTATCTTCGCTCTTAACAGAATTAGAAATAATTTCTGGCTTATTAAATTATTCATTGATTATCTCAAAATTAATAAAAAAGGGTGGCATTTCACTTATTTAAGAGTAGAGTATATATTGATCATTTTTCATATAATCTACATGATATATTGGATTTTTACATAGTAATAAAAAAAATATTTCAAATTAAACTTTTAGTATCTTGGCTAATTTGTATCAAATTTACATGATATGTGGCTTAAAATAGGTTGTTTATAATAGTGAAGTTGTGCAATATATATTGTTTTAAAAAATTAACTTTATATATAATCGAAGTTTTCCTAGATTGTTATATATTTTTTCTAGTTAATACAAAGATTTGCTAATTCTAATTAGTCAAATCACATGTTATTTATATACAAATTATATAATACTATATGATATTGATTATACACTATTGATCTATAATTTATTTTATATGAAATTGAAAATAGTAACCTCCTACACTTAATACTTAAATAGTTTATTCAAGTTTGTATTATTATTAATAAACTTACTTACCAAGATATCAAAAAAATTTATTTCAAACTTGTTGATTAGAAAATAATTAAGAAATGTTAGAAATCTTTGAGCCTCTTTATATAGCAATTTTAGATATGTCATAATCTTCTTATAAAGGTATATAAACAATTATTTGCAGTCTCATATTATATTATAATAATTCTTTTCTTAATAAAGTAACAAGAAAAATGAGAAATACTTTAAGAAAGAATTTTTGTTACTTTATAAAAACTTCTGTTATGTCTATTATACTCAATCTATCAACAAAGTTCAAAGCCTTTAACAATAAAAGTGATCAAAATTTAACTATTACTGAAATATATATAATGTTTTCACAATATACACTAAACTAGCTATATATAGTATTTCAAATTGATTATTTAAAATTTTTTATTAAATATTAGCTAAAAAAAAAAAAGTAATAAATAAAATTAGGCTAGTAAATAAACTAGATATATATCTTTCTTTATCTAATAAGTTAAAGATCAATATGCTTATATAGTGAAAAAATAATATTTATTAGTACTTAACTTTAGTATTTATAATAGCAGATTTTTTTTTTACAAACTGCTAGTATTCCTTTTAAGAATGTATTATCTATAGCAAAAGAAATTATTAAGTCTACAAAAACTATCTACTAAAGCAAACAGTTGAAGCTTCATTGTTTTTAAATAATTAATTAGAAGTAGAAATTTTAGAATAGATAAAATTATTTGATATAAAACTTCTAGTAGTATATAGTTGTTAAGATTGTATTAAGTTTTTTTTTATTATTATAATTTTAATTATATAGATTATCTGTTATGTATAAGTTATATTTTTTTAAAATAAAATTATCTGTTATAATTATCTATTATTATTATTATAGTTTTATATGATCTAATATTACATGTGATTATTAGTACTTAGTTTAAATTAAACTTAAAACCAAATCTAAATTAAGACTTAACTCATAGAGTTGAGTTGAACCAAACAAACTTTCAACATCACTATATATAATTTTATATTTCAGTCTAATAATTTACTAAATATGAATAATGTAAATTATTTCTATTATAATAATAATTTACCAACTTAAATATTCTAGAAATAATACAAAAAATCTGTATTATTGCTATACTATATTAATATAGTACAAAATAACTATTAAATAAAGTGCATATTTTTTTTCAAATCAAATTTTAATCTAAAACATAATAGTATTGTAATATATATTTCAAAAAACTGCTAATATATTACTGCACTTATATACTTAGTATGTAGTCTGTAATGTTTAACTTGTAAGCATTAGCATATTTCTAGTTTTTTTAATATTGTAACACTCTCTAACTTTTAGATCTTAATAGTTTAAGCAAATTTTATATTGCCATACCTTACAATATAAAATTTTTGTTTGTTTATATAAAATTTTATATAGTTAGCTAAATATTTTTTAGTAATATCTTAGTGTTTATTAGGCCAATTTGAAATATCTAATTACTATTAGATATATCTTAGTAAGCTTCACAACTTTTAATTAATTAATTTTGGTTATTAACTTAATAAAAAAATACTTTTCATTTGACTTTATTCAAATTTTAGTATATAGTTAATATCATAAAATTTTAAATGAGTGTGTAACTTAGTGAAGTGGTCTAGTTGTTACTCTACCAAGTAACATATTCAGAGTTCGAATCCTACTAGTGATAGAATTTGAATTGACTATTATTGTGACTATTTCAGTATTAAGCTAGGCTATTAGGGCCTATAATCTTGATTATACTACAGTCAGACCTCGTTATAGTCACTCTCAATATAGTCACAACCTTGTTATAATTACACTATTTTTTTGATCTATCTATTATAAAACATATAAATTTTGATCTTTATATAGTCACAACTTTTTATAATCACCAAAATTTTGTATCCCAACCTGGTGATTATATCGAGGTCTGACTGTATATAGATTTGTGGAATATTCGATTAGTGCAAAATAATATAGAAGCTTGTTTAGTATCTATAGAATACTCAAGTTGTATAGAAGAATACAAGCTAATTAATTGGTATCTATGAAATATTTAAATTGTATACAGTATTCAAAATTTGTGTTTTTAAAGTTCTTATAAGAACACAATTATAAGTTTGTAAACAGTATAAATTTTTTACTATTCACTATAAAAAATATTTTGAGAATAGCAAAATAATAATATTGATCTTATAAGTTTATAATAGTTAGCTACATGATATTATGCCAAATTGCTGAAACTAATAAATATAGCTATCTAATTTATTATAACTACTTATTGAAGGTATGCTTTATATTTAATATTATATTGGTTTTTTTTTTTTTTTTTTTTTTTTTTTTTTTTAGGGGGTATAAGTAAGAACATAAATAATATTTTAAGAACATTTATAGCATTATTCTGTTCTTATAAGAATAGTGTTTGAGTCTGAAATTTTAAACACTAGTTGTATAGAAACAAAAACTAATTAAAATAGTTCAAACTCAAAATAAGTTTGAAGAAGTACAAAAATCTAAAGAATATTCCAGAATAGAATCCCACTTGGCAAGTCCCAAATATAGTATTCATTCTAGAGGAAGTTGTTAAGTCATATACTAGATTAAAAGAATACAAACTATAGTCTGCAGTTTTTGGTACACAATAGACTAGTTGGCATAAACATATAATAAATTCATATAAGGGCAAAAGCACCTGTATTTAAAAATATGAGTCTAGATATTTGACAATCAAAATTTCATAAACAGCAATATATATGTATATAAACAATTTAAGCAAAAAGTACAAGTAATTAAATTATAGTTACATAATATACAAATACAAACTTCTAACTATAGTTAACTTTCTCTAAGTGCAGCTTGCCAATACTTAGAAAAATTTCTTAAATAAAAAAAACTTTGTACTTAAAGAGAACCTGCATTTAGAAAATATAAATTTATTATAACTTTATATAGTTTGGAACTAAAAAAAAAATTCGCATTAAAGAGAATTTAATATAATCTGTATTTAGAGAACATGTACTTAAAGAGAGTTAACTGTATATATATTTCCTTTATATATAAACAATTAAGCCTACTATAGAACTTTTTTTTATAAATATATTAAAGATCTAAGAACAGAATATTAAATATTTAAGTAACTAAACTCAGATAGTCCTCAAAGTATTAGCTACTCCTATAATCAGAATACTATTATTTATACCAATCTTATCCTAAATTAGAACCTTTTTATCAAAATCTACTCAATAATATCTCAACTCAGATATAGTCTAAAATTATTTTAAATCTACTCAATCAAAAAGCAATAGATTCTTCTGAGACTTGCTATAAATATATTAAACACATTAGCCCAAAAGTACAAAAAGTTCTTCAATCTTTTCTAAACAAATACTTTCAATTTTAAAAAGTTTCTACTAATTGAAAATCTTTTAATTTTTTTTTATTTCTAAAAAATCTAACTAGAACTTTACTCTTAACCAAATCTATCCTATCTTTATTATTGAACTCTTTAAAAAAATCTTTACAAAAATTTTTATTAAACAACTAGATAAAATTATCTTATCAAATAACTTTCACTCTAATCTCAATTATGCAGCTTCTAAAAACTCTTTAACATATACTCCTATCTAAATTCTATATAATATAATGGAATATTATATCTCTTATAATAAAGAAGTTTGGATATTGTTTCAAGACATGTTTAAAACTTTTGACAAAATTAATATTAAGTGCCTACAAGAGACTTGCCAAAGAATTAGCATTTTTGTTGCTAGCATAAACCTAATAACAAAACTTCATACTTTCTACCTTGTGAGAGTAATTACAGCTTATAGCCTAACATCACCAGAGTTTATATGAAATTAGATATTAATCAGTGAGAGACCTACTCTCTTTTTTGAAAATTACTATAACTCAATACTTACATTTATCTCACAAAAGTTCAAAGATCACTCTTTCAAAATCTTCTCTATCTCACTATTTGACTCAATTTTT